GAAGGGGAGTGGCAGAAGGCATGATCAAAGCCGATGGTTTTATGCGGCACTTGAAGGAGATACACGCACACAAACACACACCTAGAAAACACATGAAAACACACACACACACACACAAACACTCACGCAGATTCACACACACGCAAATACAGGTAAACAAGCACGCAAGCCCACACACGAACACACTTACACAAACATACACACAAACAAGCACACACACACACAAATACACACAGAGAAACACACAAACCCACAAACATACACAAAAACAAACTCATAGACATACACACACAGGCACACACACACGTAGAAACACAAACTCACACAATCACCCATACAAAAAAACATGCAAACACACAGTGAAACACACAAAAAGACACACAGACACACACTCAACATCACACATACAAGCAAACACACAAACACAGACAAATACGCACACATACACACAGAAAATACACAGAAACACATATAAAAACAGAAACATTCAAACACATATGCACAAAATCACACACAAGCACATACAGAAACACACAAAAACATGCAAACACTCATCCAAACACCCACAAAAGCACACACAGAAACACACACACGAGCACCCACACAGACACACATGCACAGATATGCACAAACATAAACACAAACAAAAACAGACACACACAGAAACACACACAAAGAAGCCCAGACACCCACCCAAAGACACACAGAAACATACACAAACATGCAAAAACACACAAACACACACAAACGCATAAACACACGCATTCAAACAAATATCCGAACAAACACACACACACAAATACACACGCACACAATCGCACACATACACACAGAAACAAACACAAACTCTCATGGAAACACAAACCCACAAACACACACATAAACCACACGCAAACACACACAAAGAATCGAACACAAGCGCAAACACACAGACACGCAAGCAAACATAAACACAAGACACGCAGACACAGACATAGAGACACACACATTAACACACGTTGAGAGTTTGGTGTAAAAGATGGCTTGTGGCCTCACACTGTCACACCGATTCCTGTCACAATATTCAGCCGCACTGACCAGACAGTCACAATAAACACATTGAGATATTGGAGTCATTCAGACTCTGGAAGCAAAGTTTGTTACTTACTCCAGTCTCTTTATTTTACACTCCGGGTTCCTCAAAGCCTCACCCAGTTGTTCACTCCACAATCTCCCAGATTATTGCCCCATAGCCTGGACACAGAGACACAAACACAGGGAATATAGTGTAAAACACAATACACATTGACAAGTATATATTGGAGCGTTTCAAGTGGGGAGCAAGTCCCAAGGCGCTGGGACCAGGGTCACACACACACGCACATGTGCACACACACACATCACAGTCTCTCTCTCTTTCTCTCTCTCTAACTCCTACAAAATACACAATCACTACATTTACAATATATTATCGCCGCTCTCTCTCTCTCTCTCTCTCTCTCGGTCGCTCTCAATCTTTCTTTCAGTCTCTTTCCGTATCTACCGCAAAACACAGTCATTACACCTTATAATATATTCTTTCTCAGTCTCTCTCTGTCTCTTTCAATCTCTTTTAGTATCTCATTCTCTCAGTTTTTCTCTCCCTAACTCAGTCCCTCTCTCTGCCTCTCCCTCGGCGACTCTTTCTCTCTCTCTGTCTCTCTCAATCTGTCACTCTCAGTCTGTCACTCTCAGTCTCACTCTGTGTCTCTCTCACAAAACAGTCACTGCATTTTTGTAATATAATCTTCCTCATTCTCCTTCGGTGTCTTTCACTCTCTCTCTTTCTCTGTCTAAATTTTTCTCTCTGTGCCTGTCCCACAAAATACACAGTCACTACAAGTGATTATCTATTCTCTCCTACAGTGTCTCTCTTTCTCTGTCTCTCTCTCTCACACAAACACAGTCATTCACTCTCTCGCTCAGTCTATTTCTCTCTCTATCTCATTCTCTATCTCTCAGGCTCTCTGAGTCTGTCCCTCAGTCTCTCTCTCTCACTCTATATCTCTGAGTCACTTTCTCGCTCAGTCTCTCTCTCAGTCTCTTTCCCTGCAATTTCTCCTGCTCTATCTCTCTCAGTTACTATATCAGTTTATCCCACACAACACACATTGAAGTACACTTTAAAATATATTCTCTCAAAGTCTCTCTGACTCGCTGTCTCCCAGCCTATCTTCAGATCCATCTTTCAGTCTCTCTCTCTCTGTCATTCTCTCTCTCTCATCGTCTCTCTCATTCTCTCTCTCAGTCTTGCACTGTATCTCCCGAAAAATACATACTGACTGAATTTTAAAATATATTTTCTCTCAAAATCTCTCTCAATCTCGTGCTCTCTGTCTCTCTCAGTCTATCTTTCTTTATTTCTCTCTCTCTCTAGCTCTCTGTTTGTCAGTCTCTCTCTCAGATACTCTCTGTCTCTTCCAAAAACCACAGTCACTTCGCTTTATAATATAATTTTTCTCAGTGATTCTCAGCCTGTGTCTCCTTCTCAATCTCTCTGAGGCTCTCAGTCTCACTTTGTCTCTCCCATAAAACACAGTCACTATGCTTTGTAATATAGATTCTCTCAGTGTTTCTCAGTTTGCCTCTCCATCTCAATCTCTGTATCAGTCTCTCTGTCTCTCTCTCTGTCTCTCGCACAAAACACTGTCAGTAATCTTTTTTATTACGGAGTACTGTGGTGTAAAGTGGTGTCCTGTAGCTCAGTGGTGAGAGCATTCGCCTTTCAAGCGAGAGACCTGGGTTCGATTCACAGCAAGGTGAAACCTTGGGCAAGTTTCCTTACTTCACAAGCCTGTTAATAACCCCTCAAGATAAAAAAAATAATAAATGGTTCACTCATCCATAATTGAGTGCAGGGCTGCTGTGTGCGATTGGCTACCGCGTTTTGCCCACAAAATATACAATCATTTCACTTTATAGTATATTCTATCAAGCACGTTGATAGTTCTAGAAGACGTGAAAAGCGTTATATCAAACGCAAGGATTATTATTATTAACGTATTTTCTCTCATTCTTTCTCAGTCTCTCAGTCTCTCTCTCACTCTTTCTCTCTCTTTCTCTCTCTCTAGCTTTCTCTCTCAGTCTCTCTCTGTCTCTCCCACAAAACAGTCACTTCACATTATAATATATTCTTCCTCTCAGTTTCTCTCTGTGTCCTATTTTTCCTCTATATCACTGTTATTCCCTCCCTCATATACTCTCCTCTCTCTCTCTCTCTCTCTCTCTCTCTCTCAGTCTCCATTTCTGTCTTTCATTCCCTCTCTCAGTCTCTGTCTCTTTCTCTGTCTCACTCTTTCACAGTCTCTCCATCTACGACTCTCTCATTCATTCTCGCTTTGTTATTCTCACTCTCTCACTATATCACTCTCTCTCTCTGTCTCTCTGTCTTTCTGCCTCTCTCTCTCTCTCAATCTCTCAGCCTCTGTGTCTCAGCCTCTCTCTCTCTCTCTCTCTCTCTCTCTCTCTCTCTCTCTCTCTCAATCTCACAGCCTCTGTGTCTCAGTTTCTCTCTGAGTCTCTCTCTCAGCCGCTCTCTCTCTCTCTTTCTGTCCGCCACCACCTCTTCCCCCCTCCCCCCACCACCCACAAACCCCTCTCTCTTTCGCTCTCTCTCCCTCAGTCAATATCTTTCAGTCTCTCTCTCTGTCTCTCTATTTGTTTTGCCCACAAAACATGCAGTCACAACGCGTTACAGTTTCTTCGCTCTCACAGTCTCTCTCAGTCTCTCTGTCTCTCAGTTTCCATTTCTGTCTTACTCAGTCTGTCTTTCAGTCTCTTACTCTCTCTCTTAGTATCTCTCTCAGTGTTTCTCTGAGCCGATGTTTGTACCTCTGTCTCTCACGGTCTTTCTCAATCACAGTCTCTCTCACACTCTCTCCCTCTGTCACTCTCTCAGTCTCCGCCAACCTCTCTCTGTTATTCTCTCTCTCTCTCTCTCTATCAGTCTGTCAGCCTCTACCTCTGTCGCTTATTCTCTCTCTCTCTCTCTCTGACACTCTCTCAGCCGCATTCTCTATCTCTGTCTTTCCCAGTCTCTCTCTCTCACTTTGTGTCTCTAAGACTTTCTCTCCCCTTCATTCTCCCCTTCTCTCTCTCTCTCTCTCTCTCAGTTTGTCTCTGTCTCGCTCAAAGACTGTCTCTCTGTATCTGTGTCTTTCTGTATCTCTTTCTATCTCTCTCTCTCACAGTCTCTCTCAGTCTCGCTCTCTCTCTTTCATTCTCTGCCTCCCTATCTCTTACAGTCTATATCTCACTTTCTTTCAGCCTCTCTCTCTGTCTCTTCCACAAAACACACAGTCACTAAACTGAATAATATATTTTTCTCATAGGCTCTCGCTACCTTCTCTCTCAGTATCCCACTCTCAGACTCCCTCTGTCTCTCACATAAAATAAAGTCACTACACCCACACACCTACAATATATGCGTCCGGTAGCGAAAGCCTGTTGGGAATATAGATGGAGTCATTGACCTGAGTGAGGTAAACATCTCAGGATAAGGGGGCCATCATGCATCTGTACCGTCATGCATGTATGAGCCGGACAGGTTAATGTAGCGTGCACACACACAAAAAAAACAAACATACACCTGCGTACATATACGCATACAGACACATAAGCACAAACACACACAAATTAATACATCCACAAACACCCATGCACACACACATAAATAAACAACCACAACACCCACACACAGAATCACACACACACACAGACACAAACACAAACAATCACACACACAGACACACACGCACAAACACACAAACACACACAGAAACACACGCACATAGAAACAATCACAGTCACATACAGACACTGTCACTCCGATTCCTGTCACAATATTCAACTTTACTGATCAGACAATTACAATAAATAGATGGAGATATTGAAGTCATTTAGACTCTGGAGACACAGTGTGTTACATACCCCAGACTCTGTATTTTACACTCCGGGTTCCTCAGAGCCACACACAGTCGCTTCACTCCACAATCCCTCAGTTTATTATTATTCAGGTTCAGCTCCGACAGTGAAGAGTTTTTAATGAGAGTGGAGGCCATTGCCTTGGTACAACGAACTGTCAGTTTGTTACTGTTGAGCCTGGAGATCAGAGACACAGAGACACAACAGGAATGGCAGCACGTGTGTAGTGACTCGGAGGTTGAATTATGAGGGTGGCCGCGGGGTGTGAGGGGCCCATGGGCAGGAGAGGCGGAGGAGGACAGACCTTCGCCGCTGTCCGATAGGAAGGCGCTGATATCGGAACGAGTTGCCCAGTCAAACCGGGAGTGGCCCCGACGCGATGGGAAGCTTTCCGGGAGGCATTCACACGGAGCCGCCCTGAACTCTCCGCCGCGGACCAGAAGGCGACACTGACAGGGAACACCAGCGGCGACATTACGGCGACGATAGATCCGCAAGTGCGGACCGCAGCGGCCACCGCGGCCGATGTTCAGGACCTGTTTCGGAGTTGTTGAGTGGATCGTTTGACGCGCGTAACGAGATGGGGAAATGCATATGATGCGGACGGAAGGGCCGATCGCATTCCACGCGCGTTTGTGGAGATGCGGAGCCCAATGTCAGGAAGGGAATATGGATCAACAGCAGTGGCAGAACTCGGTGTCAAACAAGGGCTGTTTTGGGGGTAAATTGACTCCCAGGTTACGGGCTGCGGCAGGTTATGGTGGTCATCCAAATACCGATTGGGCCGAGTTGCTGGGCCTGCGATCACGATGCGCTCAAGCTGTGCCCAAACCACAACCCAATGCCCTGCAAGAAGGAATGTGCGATGAGGTAGAGGGCAGAAGAGACAGATGGGAGAGCGAGGATAGAGGCAGAGCCCGGCGACAAGGCAAAGGGTATGTCAGGGGGAGCCTCGGTGAGAGGGACGGACGTGAGAAAGGTGAAGGAGTGGAGAGATTTAAAGCACAAGTACCAGCCTTAGTGGAGGAAAACAACTGAAACAGTGCAGGAGAACTGCAAAGGTTTAAAAGACAAAACAAGACAAATTAATTCGGGTAAAAGAAGGGGCGAGGTTAAAGGGATCATCTAAATCCAATGACAATTTTACCAATGCCGAAGGATTGTAAAGGTGAAACTAAGAAAGGTATTAAAGAGTCAAATTTTGAAGAAAGATTGGGACCAATGTTCACTTCTGAATTTGAAAGATTACAGAAGCAGTTGAAAGAAATGGGTACACTGATCACTGACTGCTCGGCTTCTGGTCTGTATAACACTCACTGCTTCACGCTGACCAGCACCGGCTGCTCAGAGAAAGTTAGCCCTTTGGTTTCCACATAAAGCGAAACTGTTCTTTCAGATGATGATAATCTCCAAGGGACAATTGTTTGGCTGAAATAGAACAGATTATATGGAGTCTCAAGGACATGCGTAACATCAGTACATAAAGGTGGCCAAGAACTAAAGGAGTATTCCGACCTCGAAGGATACGTTTTTAACCCTACAATGAATGGTAAAAACAAGCTGTTGAAGGTCTCACTGCTGACTTGGTGACGTGACTAAAAAGATCTTAGTTAGGGAACGAAAAAGACAAGTCTAACCGATCTTAAGAAGAGATATTCTACAATCAACGTTGATCGAACCACGTTGACAAGTCGATTCCTAATCCCAGCCGCTGTACCAATCTGATTGATTAATTGCATTGAACTTTATTACTCATCTCTTATCCGTTTGTGATTGCCGAAGCCGTAATTTTATTTACAATGATTGTGTCTTTATGTTTTTTTTATTTGTTTTATTGGTCTTGGTATATTTGTGAGACTTCATTATTGTCATTAATTCGGTCTCAAGGTGGGGGCTGTTAAGAAATGGGTTAACATCAATAATTCTAAAGCTTGAAAAATACATCTGGAAAAGTTACTTTCGATTTAGGGCGATAAAAGAAGTAGATCTCTTTACAAAGACTTAATCGCATAATGCTGAGAATGCTGTTATCACGAGTGTACTAACCTTATTAGCGGAAATGAACTGAATATTTGAACAGAACACAGATGGCTGTGAGTAACATTGTGGGCCCCTCAGCCTTATCTTATCTTCAAGGCCGGACAGTGAGGAATGGAGAAAGACAACATGTACTGATCACCCGCGCAGGTGACACTGGACAATGTGGTTTATATCTTTATTGCTTACAATTGTGTATAAATGTTACAATGTAATAGAGTTAAACGTTATTTAACTCCAGAGCAAGACTGCTGAGACCTCGGGATTTGGAAAGGAAGGACACGGAAAAAAACTGAAAACAAAGCTGGTTGAAGGCCTAAGGATCTAAAGACTTGTTTGCAGAAAACGCAAAATGCTGAATCAACAACGTCTTGAATCAACGAAGTCTGGGAGTATTGGTCTGCTCTGAATATCTAGATTTAGTTGTGTATTATTTTGATATTATTGAATAGTTTCCTATTTTACTCCTTTTTATACCACATATGTATACTCATAATTGCCATGTACCAAAGCATTACTGGAGTTAGACAATAAACTTGGTGTATTCAAACAATACTGTATATTGAGGTGGATCCTTGTTCACTTATCTGGTAACCGGTTGCTAACGGAGAACCAGAATCTAACATCGCTCTCTCACACAAACTGACTGCTCTCTGTCTCTCTCTCACACACAGACTTTTGTGTCTCCCTCTCTCACGCGCTGACTGCGCTTTCTCTCACACTCTCATTGACTGCTGTCTCTCAAACACTGACTGCTCTCTCTCACAAACAAACTGACTGCACACACACACACACAAACACTGACTGCTCGCACACACAAACGCACACAGACACACAAACTGACTGCTCTCTCTCACACACACGCTGACTACTCACACACTCACATTGACTGCTCTCTCACACACACTGACTGCTCACACACACACACACACTGACTGCTCTCTCACACACACACTGACTGCTATCTCTCTCACACACACACTGACTTCTCTAACACAGACACACACGCACACAAATATTGACTGCTCTCGCACACAACCACACGCACTAACAGCTCTCTCAAACATACACTGACATACACTGATTACTTTCACACACACACATAGACTGACTGCTCTCTCTCACACACACACACTGACTGCTCTCTCACACACACACATACACTGACTGCTCTCTCTCACACACACACTGACTGCTCTCTCTCACACACACACGCACTGACTGCTCTCATTCTCTCTCACGCACAATAACTGTTCTCTCTGACACACGCACACATTTTGACAGCTCACTCCCTCTCCCGCAAACCGACTGACTGTTCACTCTCCTTCTCACTCACACAAACGGACTCTAAACTCTCTCTCACATACACGAACACACGGACTGATCTTTCTCTCAGGATCTCACACACAAACACTGACGGCTGAGGCACAGAGAGAGAGACGGAGACTAAGAGAGACGACGAAAGAGAGAGACTGAAATAGGGAGACGGAAATATATCAACTGAGAGGAACTGACACAGAGAGAGAGAGAGAGAGACTGTGACAGAAAATGCATCAGTTGTGGTCGCTTACAGCAGTTTAGCAGTGACTGAGGGTCGGGGCTCTCCAGCCGCCCGCACGGCCGTAGGCGGTGTGTGTCAATAACGGTCCCCAGAGCAGAGATGGGAGAGGAATCAGGATCAACATCTTTAATAATCAGTCACTACAGTGTCCAGAATATATTCCATATTACACAGACTGTGTGGACAGTCACTGCCTCAGTCAGTGTCACACTGTCACTCTCAGCTCAGCTCTGATTCCCTGCAGTGACTTCAGCTGATTCTCTCCGTCTGAACTGAACTCATTCCCACACAGCCTAAAACACATTGAACAGGAAATAAACCCATGGGATAATGGTACAAACTGTAAACTGTTCGTGTCGCAGTTTAATACATATATAAATCTCTTCAAACTGTTCCTATTCTGATACACAGCCCTTTCTCTGTGTGTTTATCACATTAAACACTGTCACAAACACTCACCCGATCTCCTCAAGACTGGTGCAGGTCTGTATGAGGCGGCGGAGAGCGGGGACAGAGCCGTCTGTGAAGGAGTTAGACCCCAGGTTCAGGATCCTCAGTGAGCGGTTTGTAGTGAGAGCGGAGACCAGATCATCAGTGCAGCCATCGGTCAGTCTGTTACTGTTCAGCCTTGAGATCAGAGACACAGAGACATGACAGGGATCAGAGAAAACACTGTGGGTATAACCCACTGTCACTCACTTCCACGGAAGGAAGAGGCGTTAGAGGCCACAAGCGGATCCAGAGATGGAAACGACCCTCAGACAGTACCTGCCCCCAGCGAGGGGACCTCAGAGGGTTTCCCCGATATCCAGATATAATATATAATATAATAATAATCCTGGCATTTGATACAGCGCCTCATCGTATCTTGGAGACGCCTCAAAGCTCTTCACAGGATGCACTGTAAAGTGAATTGATTGTATATTTTTGATGTGAAATATTTATTTTAAGAGATTACTAAACCTGAAAAATTGATCTGCAAATAGTCTAACAACCGGGTTGTCACTGACTGCGAGTCAAACAGACACGACTGGAGTAAGGAAACATCCGTAAGAGATTGCTCTGCCAGGAATCACCCCCAGGCCCTCTCGCTAGCGAGGCGAGGGCTCTAACCACTGAGCTACAGGGCTCAGACTGCAGTGTGTTAGCAGACACAGGCTCACTCAGGGCTGAAGCTGTGTAGACTTTATTCTTGGTGTTTTTGCACACACATTTTGACTGTAAAGATAGCAACAAAACTCTACGTCAGGACATGATTTCTCCACAAAAAAATTAGCCTTCGGGAACTAAAGTCAGTTGGGAATATGGATGGAATCATTGACCCGAGTGAGGTAATCGTTTTAGGATTAGGGAGGAAGCCCCAACATCATGCATGTCTGAGCCGGACAGGTTGCAGGAGTGCACACACATGCACACACACATACACAAACAGTCACGCTTACAAAAACAATCACATGCACGTATACATGCACATATACATACATACACACATGTATGTACAAATACACACAAACACACACGTACTCACAGATACATACACACACGAACACATACACAAACAAATACAAATACCCACGCCGCACATAGACACACACACATTAGCAGACACACATAGGCACACAATCTCACACACACATACAATCACACACACAAACGCACACAATCACGCACACAAACTCACCCATGCAAACACATACTTACGCAAACATACACACAGAAACACAAAAACACTGACACACAGACACACAAACCCCCCCAAACACATACAGAAACACACACAAACAAACACACACACACAAGCGCACACACACAAGTGCACACACACAAACACACACACACAAGCACACGCAGACATATGTAAATATACACACCAGCACACACACAAACATAGAAACACATAAACATAACCAAAAACAAACTCACATCACGCACTTACATGCACACAAAAACACAAACACACACAGAGAAGCACACACACATAAATTGACATATACACACACTAACAAGTAGACGACTCACATACAAATACACACACACAGAGACAGACACACATACACAAACACACTTAGCAAACACACGCGCGCAAAAACTCACACAAGCACACACAAACATAAACAAAATCAAACACAAACACACACATGAATACACATACACACACACAAGCAAACACATAACCCAGATGCATACACAGACACACAAACACAAACACAGATACACACAGAAACGCGCACACAGAAATAAACATACAACCACACAAACAAACACACACACAAATACAAACACTAGGACACACAAATATACACGCACAGACACACACAAATGCACTCAAACAAATGCACACACAGAAACACACAATCACTCACACACAAGCATACACAACCACACACAAACAAACACACAGATATACAAAGGCACACAATCGCAAACACAGAAACAAATGCACAAACACTCACACAAACGCACACACATAACAAACACACGCACGTAAACACACACCGAAAAAGCACACAAGCAACACACAAACACACATATACATAGCCACACAAACATACATAAACATACATAAAAACACACACACAAATACACACTCAGCAACACACAAACGGATATACAGGCACAAATACACAAAGAAACACAGAAACACACGCAAACACTCACAAAAACAGTCACAAACTCATAGTCGCACACACAAACACACACAAACGGACAAACACACAAGCAAACACACAAATAGACACACAACCATATGCACAAATGCACACGAAATCGCGCACACGCAGAAACACGCGCAACACACACGTGCGAAAACTTCCACACAAACACAAGCAAAAATAAACACACACTGACATAAATATTCGTACACACACAAAACACACATACAGACTAAAACACACACAAATATACAACAATATCAACAAAATGATATTGATAGAGCGCCTCGGGAGGAGGTGTCAAAGCGCTGAACAGTCAGGTATCGAGGCCCGAGCATTGGCGAGGTGTGGGGTAGGTTTGAGGGGTGGTGTAGGGGTGAGGGAAGGAAGGAAGTTGGGAGGGAGACCAAAGGCACGATCGAAGAGAAGGGTCTTGAAAATGGCCTTGAAATAGACAAGGGAGGAAGCGAGGCGAAGGGACCGTGGGATGAACTCCCAAAGTGTGTGGGCAGAGAGGCTGAAAGCCCGGCCACCGATGGGAGGGCGGGTCGGGCGGGAGACATGGAGAAGCCCGGAGTCCACTGGACGGAGGGAGCGGGAAGGTTTTGAGGGAGTCAGCAGGTCAGAGAGGGGAGGGGAGAAGGAGTCCTGTAGCTCAATGGTTAGAGCACTCGCTTTGCAAGCGAGAGACCTGAGTTCAATTACAGGCAGAGGGCGAAACCTTGGGCAAGTTTCCTTACTCCACACAGAGCCTAATAATAATCCCTCCAAAAACCAAAAACAATAATAAATTGGTCATTTTCAATCTACGACTGTTTGTGGGACATTGCTGTGCGCAATTGGCTGCCGCGTTCGCCCACAAATATACAATCAATTCACTTTACAGTGTGTTCTGTGAAGCGCTTTGGGACGTCCTCCTGACGTGAAAAGCGCTATATCAAATGCAAGGATTATTATTATTATTATTATTATTATTATTATTATAAGGCCATGGATGGCCTTAACGGTGAGGAAGAAGATCTTGAATACTATCCTGTGGGGAATGAGGAGTGATGGGGTCGGGCGAGGGTGGGAGTGATGTGGGCGCGGAGCGAGGGTGGGTGTGATGGGGTCGGGCGAGGGTGGGAGTGATGGGGTCGGGCGAGGGTGGGAGTGATGGGGTCGGGCGAGGGTGGGAGTGTTAGTGTCGGGGAGTCTGGTTTGTGAGAAAACATGAGCTGCAGAGTTTGGATGATCTACAGCTGTGATGCGAAGATTTGGGAACACACACACAAACACAAACACAATCGCACACACTCACAGGAACATACACAAACACACACAACAACAAAAACAACACGATAACATTTGCATAGTGCCTTTCACATCGGGAGGATGTCCCAAGGCTCTTATGCACACACACGCAAACACAAAGACAAACATATACACAAACATGCACACAAACAAACACAGATGCACACAAAGACACACACACAAACACACACACAATGGCGCACACATAAAAATCACAGAAACGCACACATACAGATATACTCAAGCACACATAAAGACACAGATATGCACAGAAATATATAGAGAACAACACAGACGCACTCAAACACACATGAACCAACGCGCAAACACAGAAAAAAACACAATCACACCCTAACAAAACAAATGCAAATACACAGACACACACAAACAGAAAAACACTGACAGACACAGATACACGCTCACACACACAGACACACAAACACAGACACGTACAAAAACACATGCACTGACACCCACACACACAGACATACATACACACACAGTGTTGTCATGGGTTAAGGTTAAAGTGTTGTTCAAGAATATAAAATAGAAGTGTAAAGGCGGCAAAGCTCAGTAACTGAAGGCAGAACCCAAAACAATGGCAATATAAGCTCAGGACGTACAAGGACACAGAACGTCTGTTCACACTTACACATTGGACGGAGGGACTGGTCAGGAGAGAATAAAATGTGGTTAAAGGGAGAATTGAAATATATTATGGATAAAACCATATAAGGAGTTGATTTCTTAAAAAAGACAGCTTTGGCTGGAGATATTAAGGTGTCTTTAAACAAAGGTGTGTTAGATATCTCTCGGGAACGGTAGCGGAGCAGTGCGAGACACGACCAGGGCTGTGACAGGAATCCGGTCGGTACTGCTTTGTGTCTTGTGTATTTTTTTATTGTTTCAGTTATTTGTATATTTCCTGATGTTTTGACCTGAATAAAGTGACTGAACTCAACCAATTGGTAAACTGGAATCGGATAATTGTAATATTGTTGGAGATAGATGCAAATGTTTCCAGCAACAGACTCACACACACACACACACACAGACACACACATTAATCCATGTTGAGTGTTTGATGTAAAACATGGCTTCTGGAGTCAGACGGTCACACCGATTCCTGTCACATTATTCAGCCGCACTGATCAGACAGTCACAATAAACATAGTGAGATATTGGGGTCATTCGGACTCTGGAGACACAGTGTTACTGACCACAAACTCTGTATTTTACACTCCGGGTTCCTCAGAGCCTCACACAGTCGCTTCACTCCACAATCTCCCAGAATATTGTTATTCAGGTTCAGTTCCGTCAGTGAGTGGTTTGTGCTGAGAGCGGAGGTCAGATCCTCGGTACAATCAGCTGTCAGATTGTTACCCTCCAGCCTGGAGATCAGAGACAGAGACATAACAGGGATCAGAGTAAACACAGTGTGTGTAACCCACTGTCACTCAGTTTGTTTGATGCCGGACAGGTAGTAGGAGTGCGACATACACACACAAACCAGGATACACACCAACACAGACACGCAGCCACCGAAACACTCTTACTCACACACACATATAAACACATGTCCCACATGCAGATACACGCATAGAGACACACACACTCAAACACACACAGACGCGCACACATAGACACAACCACAGACACAATGAAGTACACACATACATATAGAAATACACACATGCACATAAATAAATGCACACACACACACACACAAAAACGCACCACGGAAACACATACGTACGAAAACGCACACAGAAACAAAACAAGCACACAGACACACAAATGCACAGAATCCCCCACACTCTGAGAAACATACACAAATAAATACTCACACAGACTCGCACGCAACGCACACACAAAGACATGCAAACGCACATACGTAAACACACATAAACACAGAAATAAACACAAGCAAACATAGTTACGCAAACGTACACACAAACACACACAAATACACACACACAGAAACACACAATCAAACAAGCATATACATAAACAATCTCACAAACACGCACGCACCAGTACACACAAACAAACACAACACACAAACACAAACATACAAGCACATATAAAAACAGAAATAAATACAGACACACAAAATCACATACAAACACGCACACATAAATACACATACACAGATGCACAAACAAACATGCAGATTTACACACACTTAAACACAGAAACCTACAAATACGCACAAACACTCACAAATTCATGCACACAAAATCGCGCAAACAATCACACGCACACATACAAACATAAACAAAATCTCACACAAACACAGATATAAATACACATACACGCACACGACCAAATGTCCCACAGCGAAATGCACACACACACAGACATGCACACAAACACACCCACGCAACCACACACGCGCAAAACCTCACACAAACACATACAAAAATGAACAAAATCACACACAAACACACACACATAAATACAAATATACACACACAAACACATGACCCACAGAAAAAATGCACCACAGAGAGACAGAAACAGAAACACACAGACATACACATAGAGACACATAGGCACATAGAAATACACACACAAAGACACATACACACACATGCACACAAACACACACAAAATTACACTCACAAACCCACACAAATGCACTCACACAAACGCACACACAGAAACACATACAAATAAACATACTGATACACAAACTCACACAATCGCGCACACACAGAAACAAACACACAAACACTCACACAAAAACAGAAAAACACAAAGAATGCAAGCACAAATTCACACACATACACAAACACGCATAAATATACACACAAACAATCGCACAAATATACAATGCAAGCACAAATTCACACACATACACAAACACGCATAAATATATACACAAACACTCGCACAAATATACACTCAGAAACACACAAATACACACAAAAACAAACTCACAAACTGGCACACACATGCACACTCAAACAAACATAACACATACAAGCAAATATACACACACACGCAAACACAGAAAAACAAACACAAAACACTCATAAAAACACTCACAAACACACACAAAATCGCGCACGCGCAAGCACCCACAAACATAAAAAAATCACAAAAACAAACACACACATCAACACACGTACACACATACACACAATCAAACACACAAATGCAGACACAAAGAAAAACATACAATCACACACAAACACACACGCGAGCACACTCACGCAAACAAACGCAAAAACACACATAAATACACATACAAAGTCTCAAATACACAGTACACCCAAAAACACACATACACGCACACAAACACAAACACGAACCCAAATACACAACAACATCAATAAAATAATAATAATAATATTCCTTGCATTTGATATAGCACTTTTCACGTCGGGAGGACGTCCCAAAGCGCTGAACAGTCGAGGGTCGGGACCCGAGCATGAGGGATAGGTGGGGAAGGGGTGAATGGTGGGATCGGTGTGGGAGGGGTGGCGGAAGGCAGAGAAGTGGGAGGGAGATCAAAGGCACGGTAGAAGAGCAGGGTCTTGAGACCGGCCTTGAAGGAGGCAAAAGAAGAAGTGAGGCGAAGGGACCGTGGGATGGATTTGCACAGTGTGGGAGAAGAGAGGTTGAAAGCCCGGACACCTATGGGAGGGAGGGTCGGGCGGGAGACATGGAGCAGCCCGGAGCCCGCTGGACGGAGGGAGCGGGCAGGTTGGTAGGGAGTCAGCAGGTCAGACAGGGGAAGAGGGGGCGAGGCCATGGATGGCCTTAAAGGTGAGGACAAGGATCTTGAACGACGGATCTTCTGGACGACGGAGAGACCTGGGCGAGCGTGGGAGTGATGGGATCGGGCGAGCGTGGGAGTGATGGGGTCGGTCGAGGGTGGGAGTGATGGGGTCGGTCGAGGGTGGGAGTGATGGGGTCGGTCGAGGGGGGGAGTGATGGGGTCGGTCGAGGGGGGGAGTGATGGGGTCGGGCGAGGGTGGGAGTGATGGGGTCGGGCGAGGGTAGGAGTGATGGGGACGGGCGAGGGTGGGCGTGATGGGGTCGGGGACCCTGGTGTGTGTGAGGACACGAGCTGCAGAGTTTGGATGATCTGCAGCTGTGTAGGGAAGAGTTGGGAACACACTCACAAACACAGACACAATCGCACACACTCACAGGAACATACACAAGTACACACAACAATAACAATATTTTTACAGCGCCTTTGACGTCTGGAGGGCGTCCCAAGGCGCTGACACACACACGCAAACACTCACAAATGCACACACAAACACAAAGACAATCATATACACAAACATACACACAAACAGACGCGTACAAATACACACGCAGAAACACAGAAATAAACACACAAACAATGGCACATACACAAGAAAAACACAGAAGCTCACTCAAAAACACACAAACAAACTCACAAAAACACTCATGGACACACATACACAGAAACACGCACAAACATACAGATACGCAAACAGACACTCAAAAGACACACACACAGAAATTACCTGCACTGGCACACACACAGATAAACACAAACACACAGTGTTGTCGTCGGAAAACGTTAAAGTGTGGTTTACCAGTTTAAAATAGAAGTGCAAAGGCGGCAAAGCTCAGTGACTGAAGGCAGAGCCCAAAACAATGGCAACATAAGGTCAGGACTTACAAGGACACAGAAAGTCTGTTCACACTTACACACTGGACGGAGGGACTGATCAGGAGAGTATAAAATGTGGTTAAAGGGAGAATTGAAACATTTTATGGGCAGAACCATATAAGGAGTTGTTTTTCTTAAAAAAGACAACTTTGACTGGAGATATTAAGGTGTCTTTAAACAAAGGTGTGTTAGATAACTCTCGAGGACGGTAGCGGAGCAGTGCGAGACACGACCAGGGCTGTGACAGGAATCCGGTCGGTACCATTTTGTGTCTTGTGTATTATTTTATTGTTTCATTTATTTGTGTATTTCCTGCTGTTTTGACCTGAATATAGTGACTTAACTCAACCAATTGGTAAACTGGAATCGGATCATTGTAAAGTTGTTGGAGAGAGTTGCAAATGTTTCTAACAGCAGAGACACAGACACACAGACAGTCACACGCACACACTCACAGACACACACACATTACCACATGTTGAGAGTTTGATGTAAACGATGGTTTGTGGCCTCACACTGTCACACCGATTCCTGTCACAATATTCAGCCGCACTGATCAGACAGTCACAATAAACACATTGAGATATTGGTGTCATTCAGACTCTGGAGACACAGTGCGTTACTTACTCCAGATTCTGTATTTTACACTCCCGGTTCCTCAGAGCGTCACACAGTCGCTTCACTCCACAATCTCCCAGATTATTGTTACTCAGGTGCAGTTCCTTCAGTGAGTGGTTTGTGCTGAGAGCGGAGGTCAGATCCTCGGTACAATCAGCTGTCAGATTGTTACCCTCCAACCTGGAGATCAGAGACACAGAGACATAACAGGGATCAGAGTAAACACAGTGTGTGTAACCCACTGTCACTCACAGTTTGTTTGATGCCGGACAGGTTGTAGGAGTGCACACACACACACACCAGCAAACATACATAGCAGACAAACACGCAGACAAAGATACACACTTACTCTCACACAAACAAACACACAAACAACCAAACACATGATCCACAGACAAATAAACACACACAGATACACAAAGAAATACACAAATACACACAGAAACACACACACAAAAATACATACACTTTCACGCACACAAACAAACACACAAACACACACACAACAACATACAGACGCACAGACAGAGACACACACACAAAATTACACATACGCACACATGCACACAAACACGCACACACACACAGACACACTCACACAAACACGCATACACAGAAAAGCAAACATTCACACTCACACAATCTCACCATGCAAACACATACATACGCAAACACACACAAACTAACACACAGACACAAACGCACACGATCCCACCCACGCAGAGAAACACACACAAACACACACACAAACTCACGCACAAACTCACACACCCAGAAACACACAAACACACACACTCATAAACACATACACACAGAATCGCACACACGCAAACACTCACACAAGCACACACACAAAGATAAACAATATGTCACACACAAACGCACACATAAATACACTCACACACAAAAACAAACACATGACCCACAGATAAATACACACACACACAGACACAAACACACAGACACACATACACAGAAATACACATACATGCACACAAACAAACACACACACCAAAATACACACACACCATCACACACAAAAATACACGCACAAACACACAAACACACTCACACAAAAGCACACACACAGAAACACACAATCACGCACACAAACGCTTACCCACGCAAGCATAGTTGCACACAAACACACTCACAGAAACACACACAAGCATACACAAACACACACAAACACACAGAAACAAACACAGACACACAAATACACACAATCGCACACACAGAGAGATACACACAGAAACAAACACACAAAAACACGCATACACACACAAAAACATGTATGAACAGATACACAAACAAACACGCAAATACACATTCAGAAACACACAAACAAACATAAACATAAAAAAACTCACAAACACGCACACACATGCACACACAAGTAAACATAACACACACAATCACACACACACACAAAAGCATACAAACACACATAGAAACATACATAAAGATATACAGACACATACTCAAAAACACACATGGAAACACAAAATTTAACACAAACACACATCCACGTAAATATACATATGCAGATACACACAAACAAACACAAAAAAACACGCAAATGCAAACACACACAAACACCCACACACAAAAACACACACACAAACGCAGAAACTCACACAAACTTTCACAAATACACTCACAAACTCATACACACAAAATCGCACACACGGAAACACACACGCAAGCACACACACAAACATAAACAAAATCACACACAAAGACACAAACATAAATACACATACACACAAACAAACACACAAATACATACATAAACATGCACACACAAATATACACACAAACCTACACACATAAGCGCACACACAGAAACATGCATAATCATACATACAAACATACATGCGAACACACCCACGCAAACATATGCAAAACGACACAAACATACACACCTCAAGCACGAATAAACAGCCGCGCACACAAACACACAAACACACACAAAGACACAACAACATAAACAAAATAACATTTATAGAGCGCCTTTCATGTCGGGAGGACGTCCCGAAGCGCTGAATAGTCAGGGGGCGGGGTCCCAGCATGAGGAAGGGATGGGGTAGGGGTGATGGGTGAGGAAGGGGTGATGTAGCGGTGAGGCAAGTCAGAGAGGTGGGAGGGCAACTAGAAGCACGGTCGAAGAAAAGGGTCTTGAGACCGGCCTTGAAGGAGCCAAGGGAGGAAGCGAGGGGAAGGGACCGTGGGATGGAGTCCCAGAGTGTGGGGCAGAGAGGCTGAAAGCCCGGACACCGATGGGAGGGCGGGTCAGGCGGGAGACATGGAGCAGCGCGGAGCCCACTGGACGGAGGGAGCGGCAGGTTGTAGGGAGTCAGCAGGTCAGAGAGGGGAGGAGGGGACGAGGCCATGGATGGCCTTAAAGGTGAGCACGAGGAAATTGAACTGTTAGGGGAGTCAGTGGAGTCGAGCGAGGGTGGGAGTGATGGGGTCGGGCGAGGGTGGGAGTGATGGGGTCAGGCGAGGGTGTGAGTGATGGTGTCTTTCCACAGTGGGAGTGATGGGGTCGGGCAAGGGTGGGAGTGATGGGGTCGGGCAAGGGTGGGAGTGATGGGGTCGGGCGAGGGTGGGAGTCATGGGGTCGGGGCGCCTGGTGTGTGAAAGTACACGAACTGCAGTATTTGGATGATCTGCAGCTTGTGAAGGGAAGAGTTGGGAACACATACAAAAACATACACACAATCGCACACACTCACAGGAACATACACAAACACACACACACCATCGCACACACTCACAGGAACGTACAAAAACACACAACAACAACAATAGCAACAACAACTAGATTATATCTGTATGGCGCCTTTCACGTTGGGAGGTCGTCCCAAGGCGCTGACACACACACAAAAACACACATTCACAAACGCACACACAATCACAAAGACACACATATACACAAACATACACACACCAACACACAATCAATGGCACTCAGAAAAAAACCGAAACACACACACACAGTCACACACGCGCACACACAGAAATACACAGAGACACACAAACACACACACACACACAAAGAAATGCACACACACAGACACACATTCACACTCACACAAACCCTCACAGAAACACATAGACAAACATATACAGACACACGCACACATGCACACAGACACGCAAACGGAAACACACAAGGCACACACGTAGACAAATTCACAAACACATGCACAGACTAACACACACACATAAAAATACACACACAGCGTAGTCACAGGTTAATGTTAAAGTGGTTTAAGAATATAAAACAGTTGTTGTCATGGTTTAATGTTAACATGTATTTTAATATAAAATAGAAGCGCAAAGGCTGCAAACCTCAGTGACTGAAGACAGAAAAGAATAAAATGTTGTTAAAGGGAGAATTGAAACATTATGAATATAACCATATAAGGAGTTGTTTTTCTTTAAAAAAGACAGCTTTGGCTGGAGTTATTAAGGTGTCTTTAAACAAACATGTTTTAGATATTTCTCGGGAACGGTAGCGGAGCAGTGCGAGCCGCGACCAGGTCTGTAACAGAAATCCGGTCGGTACCGTTTTGTGTCTTGTGTATTATTTTATTGTTTCATTTATTTGTGTATTTCCTGCTGTTTTGACCTGAATATGGTGACTGAACTCAACCAATTGGTAAACTGGAATCGGATCATTGAAAAGTTGTTGGAGATAGATGCAAATGTTTCTAAGAGCAGACACACACACACACAGAAACACACACACAGACACACACATTAATACATGTTGAGAGTTTGATGTAAACGATGGTTTGTGGCCTCACACTGTCACACCGATTCCTGTCACAATATTCAGCCGCACTGATTAGACAATCACAATAAACACATTGAGATATTGGAGTCATTCAGACTCTGGAGACACAGTGTGTTACTTACCACAGACTCTGTATTTTACACTGCGGGTTCTTCAGAACCTCACACAGTCGCTTCACTCCACAATCTTCCAGTTTATTATAACTCAGGAGCAGTTCCGTCAGTGAGTGGTTTGTGCTGAGAGCGGAGGTCAGATCCTCGGTACAATCAGCTGTCAAATTGTTACTGTTCAACCTGGAGATTAGAGACACAGAGACATAACAGGGATCAGAGTAAACACAGTGTGTGTAACCCACTGTCACTCACAGTTTGTTTGATGCTGGACAGGTTGCAGGAGTGACGGGGTCCGGCGAGGGTGGGAGTGATGGGGTCGGGGAGCCTGGTGTGTGTGAATATATGAGCTGCAGAGTTTGGATGATCTGCAGCTGCGAAGGGAAAAGTTGGGAACACAAACACACACACAATCGAACACACTCACAGGAACATACACAAACACACACAAACAATATTTGTATAGCGTCTTTCACGTCGGGACGAAGTCCGAATGCGCTGACAACACACACAAACACTCAGAAATGCACATACAAACACAAAGACAATCATATACACAAACAAACAAACGTGCACAAATACACACACAGAAACACACACACAGACACAATGACACATGCACAAGAAAAACACAGAAGCTCACTTAAAAATACACACAAACACACTCACAAAAATACTCAGACACACATACACAGAAACACGCACACACATAGAGATACGCAAACATACACTCACAAAACACACACAGACATAATCGCATTCACTGACACACACACAGAGTCATACACACAGTGTTGTCGTGGGATAATGTTAAAGTGTGGTTTAAGAGTATAAAATAGAAGTGTAAAGGCTGCAAAGCTCAGTAACTGAAGGCATAACCCAAAACAATGGCAATATAAGGTCAGGACGTACAGGGACACAGAAAGTCTGTTCACACTTATACACTGGATGAAGGGATTGATGAGGAGAGAATAAAATGTGGTTAAAGGGAGAATTGAAACATTTTGTGGACAGAACCATATAAGGAGTTGTTTTTCTTAAAAAAAAACAGCTTTGACTGGAGATATTAAGGTGTCTTTAAACAAAGGTGTGTTAGATATCTCTCGGGAACGGTAGCGGAGCAGTGCGAGACACGACCAGGGCTGTGAAAAGAATCCGGTCGGTACCGTTTTGTGTCTTGTGCATTATTTTATTGTTTCATTTACTTGTGCATTACCTGCTATTTTGACCTGAATATAGTGACTGAACTCAACCAATAGGTAAACTGGAATCGGATCATTTTAAAATTGTTGGAGAGAGTCGCAAATTTTATGTTTGTGTGTGTGACACACACATACACAGACACACAGAGGCACACACACAGACACACACACACACACATTACCACATGTTGAGAGTTTGATGTAAACGATGATTGTGGCCTCACACTGTCACACCGATTCCTGTCACAATGTTCAGCCGCACTGATCAGACAGTCACAATAAACACATTGAGATATTGGAGTCATTCAGACTCTGGAGACACAGTGCGTTACTTACCACAGACTCTGTATTTTACACTCCGGGTTCCTCAGAGCCTCACACAGTCGCTTCACTCCACAATCTCCCAGATTATTGCCCCCCAACCTGGACACAGAGACACAAACACAGGGAATATAGTGTAACAACACAATAAACATTGACATGTATGTACAGGAGCCTTTCACGTGGGGAGCAAGTCCCAAGGCGCTGGGACCAGGGTCACACACATGTGCACACACACATATCACAGTGTCTCTCTCTCTCACTCTGATTCTCTCTCTGTCTCTGCCTCAAAACAGTCACTACGTTTCATAATATATTCTCTTTCACCGTCTTTCTCTCTTTCTCTCTCTCTCTCTGTCTTTTTCTAAGTCTTTCACTTTGTCTCAGTCTCTCTCTCTCTATATATATATTTCTTTCTCTGCCTCTCCCACAAAACACAGTTACTACACGTTATAGCATATTCTCTCACACAATCTCTCTGTTTCTCTTAGTCTGTCTCTTCATCGTCTCTCCCTCTGCCTCTACCGCAGTATCTCTCTCTCAGTCTCTCAGCCTCTATCTCTCAGTCTATCTCGCTTAGCCTCTCTCTCTTTCTCAGTCTCTCTCTCTGTTTGTCTCTCAGATTCTCTCTCACTCTATCTCTGTCTCTCACTCTCTCTCTCTTTCCCAGTCTCTGTGTGTGTGTGTGTGTCTGTGTGTCTCAGTCTCACTCTATCCCTGTCTCTCAGTCTTTCACACTATCTTTCTCTATCGAGGTCTCTCAGTATCCCTTTCTATCTCTCTCTCACAGTTTCTCTCACTCTGTGTCTCTGAGTCACTTTCTCTCTCATTCTCTCTCTTTGTCTGTTTCTCTCCCTCTCTCACAGCCACACACTCTCGCTCTCATTCACTCACTCAGTTTGTCTCTCTCAGTCTCGGTTTCCCAGACTCTCACCCTCTCACAGTCTCTTTCTCTCAGTCACTCACTCTCTTAGTCTCTCTTTCCCTCTCTCTCTGTCTTTCAGTCTCTCTCTCTCTCGCTCCTTGTCTCTCAGTCTCCCTCAGTGACTCTCTTCAACCTCCTCCGTTCTTTCGTCCCCTCTTTTTCTCTCTCTCTCTTTCTCTCTCTTTGTCAGTCTCTCTCACTGACTCTCTCTCTGTTTCTCTCTCTCTCTGTCTCTTTCTCTCTCGCAGTAACAGTCTATCACCCACAAAACACAGTGTCACTACACTTTATAATATATCTCACAGTCTCTCTTTCTCTACGCTTTTCTTTCTCTTATTCTCTTTTTCTGTCTTGCGCTCTATTCTTTCCCTCATTCAGTCACTCGCTGTGTCTCTGTCTTTCTCTTTGACTCTCACACTCTCTCTCTCTATCTGTCAGTTTCTTTATCAGTCTCTCTCTCTCTCTCTGTCACACAGTAACTTACTCTGGCTCTCCAACAAGACACACTCACTATTCGTTTAATATATTTTTGTCTCAGTCTCTCTCTGTGTCTCTGTTTGTCTCTCTTTCCCTCTCAGTCTCTACCTCTTTGTCTCTCCCACAAAATACGCAGTCACGACATGTAATATTTCATCCACCCTATTCTCTCTCACTCTGTCTGTCTTTCTCTCAGTCTGTCTCTCTCAATCTCTCTCTTACTTTCTTTCTCTCAGTCTCTCTCTGATTCTCTTTCACTCCCTCTTTCTCTCCCTAACTCAGTTTCTCTCTCAGTCTCACTCTGAACGTTTCACTCTCTATCATTCTCTGTCTTCGTCTCTCACTCTATCTTTCTCTCACTCAGTCTCTCTTCACTATCTGTCTCTCATTCTCTCTTTTTCTTTCTGTCGCTTAATCCCTCTCACAAAAAAACCTCTCACATGTTATATTTCTTCTCCTATAGTCTCCCAGTCTCTTTTTCTCTATCTGTCTATCACTCTGTCTTTCTCTCACTCAGGCTCTCTTCTCTCTCAGTTTCTCTTTCCATCTCTGTTTCTTTCCGTCCATCTCTCTCAGGCCTCCTCTATCTCTTAATCTCAAGGGATTACTGGCTGGAGATATTAAAGTGTCTTTAAACAAAGGTGTGTTAGATTTTCTCTCGGTAAAGTTAGCGGAGCAGTGCGGGACACGACCAGTGCTGTGACAGAAATCCGGTCGGTACCGTTTTGTGTCTTGTGTATTATTTTATTGTTTCATTTACTTGTGCATTACCTGCTATTTTGACCTGAATATAGTGACTGAACTCAACCAACAGGTAAACACACACATACACAGACACACAGAGACACACACACAGACACACACACTCACAGACACATACACACACACACAGAAAGACACACACACATTACCACATGTTGAGAGTTTGATGTAAACGATGGCTTGTGGCCTCACACTGTCACACCGATTCCTGTCACAATATTCAGCCGCACTGATCAGACAGTCACAATAAACACATTGAGATATTGGAGTCATTCAGACTCTGGAGACACAGTGCGTTACTTACCTGAGACTCTGTATTTTACACTCCGGGTTCCTCAGAGCCTCACACAGTCGATTCACTCCACAATCTCCCAGATTATTGCCCTCCAGCCTGGACACAGAGACACAAACACAGGGAATATAGTGTAACAACACAATGTACATTGACATGTATATACAGGAGCCTTTCACGTGGGGAGCAAGTCCCAAGGCGCTGGGACCAGTGTCACACACACACACATGTGCCCACACATCACAGTCTCTCTCTCTCTCTCTCTAATTCTCTCTCTGTCTCTCCCTCAAAACAGTCACTATGTTTTATAATGTATTCTCTTTCACCGTCTCTCTCTCTCTGTCTCCTTTTGTCTTTCACTTTTTGTCGGTCTCTCTCTTTCAGTTTCTCCTCTGCCTCTCCCACAAATCACAGTTGTTGCACGTTATAACATATTCTCTCTCACTGTCTCTTTCTCTCAGTCTCTCTCTCTCTTTCACTGTCTCAGTCTCTATCTCTCAGACTCTCTGAGGCTGTCCCTCATTCTCTCTCTCACTCTGTATCTCTGAGTCATTTACTCTCTCAGTCTCTCTCTCAGTCTCTTTCTCTATCTCTCGCGCAATTCCTCCCAATCTCTCCCCCTCACTCTCATTCACTCTGTTATCTGTTTCCCCCTAAAACACACATTCGCTACACTTTAAAATATATTTTCTCTCAGTCTCTGTCTCTATCTCTCTCTCTCGATCTCTCTCTCTCTCAGTCAATCTCATTCAGTCACTATCTCTGTCTCTCTGTCTCACCGACAAAACATACACTCAGTGCACATTATAATATAATCTCTCTCCATTTATGTCTCACTCAGTCTTTCTCTTTCTGTCTCTCTCTCTCTCAGTATCTCTCTCAGTCGCTCTCTAAGACTATGTCTCCCTCTCTCCCCCTCTCTTTCTCAGTCTCTCTTTGACAGTCACTCTCACAGTCTTTCCTCTGCCTTTGCCTTTCTCTGTCGCTCATTCTCGCCCTTAAGTCTCTCTCTTTCTCTCAATCTCGAACTCTCACTCTCTCTCTCCCCAATTCTCTCATTCTCTTAGCCTCTGTCTTTCAGTCTATCTCGCTTAGTCTCTCTAACTCTCTGCCTCTCAGCCTCTCTCTTTCTCGGTCTCTCTCTCTCTGTGTGTCTCTCGGACTATCTCTCTCTCTACCTCTGTCTCTCAGTCTGTATTCCTCTCAGACTCTCAGACTATCTTTCTGTATCGGTGTCTCTCAGTATCTCTTCCTGTCTCACTCTCACAGTCTCTCTCGCTCCGTGTCTCTGAGTCACTTTGTCTCTCAGAGTCTATCTCTGTTTGTTACTTTTCCTCTGTCGCAGTCACTCTCTATCTCTCATTCTCTCACTCAGTTTGTCTCTCTCAGTCTCCCTTTCCCAGTCTCTCACTCTCTCTCAGTCTCTCTCTCTCAGCCATTGGATCTCTCAGTCTGAGCCATTCAGACTCTCTGTCTCTCTCCCAGTATCTCAGTCTTTCTCAGTGACTCTCTGATGCTCTCTCCTCCTTTCTTTCTGTTCTCTTTCTCTCTCTCGCTGACTCTTTCCCTCTCTTTGTCAGTCTCTCTCACTGACTCTCTGTTTTTCTCTCTCTCTCTCTATCTCGCTCTCGCAATAATTCTCTGTCACCCACAAAACACAGTGTCACTCTACTTTATAATATCTCTCTCACAGTCTCGCTCTTTCTACTTTTTTCTCTGTCATTCTCTTTCTGGGTCTCTCGCTCTGTTTTTTCTCTCATTCAGTCTCTCACTCTGTCTGTCTTTCTCTCAGTATTTCTCTCTCTCAATCTCCCTCTTAGTTTCTTTCTCAGTCTCTATTTGATTCTCTTTCTCTCCCTCTTTCTCTTCTCTCAGTCTGTCTCTCTCAGTCTCACTGTTTACACTAAACTCTATATCAGTCTCTGTCTTCGTCTCTCGCTCGATTTTTCTCTACTCAGTCTCCATTATCTGCCTCTCTCATTCTCTCTTTCTGTCTCTGTCTCTTAGTCCCTCTCACAAAAAAGTCACAACACATTATATTTCTTCTACCCTCGTCTCTCTCTTTCTCATTCTCTCTCTCTCTCAGTCTTTCTCTCAGTCTCTGTATCTCTCTGTCCGTCTCTCTCTCTCAGTCCCCCTCTATCTCTCAGTCTCTTTCATAATATCTCACGAAATATTTTTTGAGGGGATTATTAACCCTAGAAACGCGATCTGCAAACTCTCTAACAACCGGATTGTGACTGACTGTGAGGCAAACAGACATAAGTGGAGTAAGGAAACATCCGTAAGGTTTTGCCCTGTCAGGAATCACCCCCAGGCCCTCTCGCTAGCGAGGCGAGGGCTCTAGCCACTGAGCTACAGGGCTCAGACTGCAGTGTGTGAGCAGACACAGGCTAACTCAGGGCTAAAGCTGTGTAGACTTTATTCTAGGGGACGGTTTTGCACAGACGTTTTGGCTGTAAATTTACCAACTAAACACTACCTCAGGACATGATTTCTCCACAAATGTATTTGCGTCCGGGAGCTAAAGCCTTTTGGGAATACACATGGAATCATTGACCTGAGTGAGTTAAACATCTCAGGATTAGGGAGGAAGCCCCAACATCATACATGTCTGAGCCGGACACACACACACACACACATAGAACCCGCAAACAGACACGCATGTACACACAGATTCAAAACAAACATATACCGTGGGACCAGAGTCAGATACACCCACACAAGTGCACACACGCAAACTATTTCTGTCCCTCACAGTCTCTCTCTCGCTCTCCGTCTCTCTCTCTCGGAATCTCAATCTCCGTCTCTGAATCTCTCTCAGTCTCTCTCTTTCAATCTCCCGATCGCTCTCTCTCTCTCTTTCTGTCTCTCTCAGTCTCTCGCTCAATCCGCAGTTAACATACTTGGTAATATATTCCCTCTCACTCTCTCTCTAACAGAGTCTCACTCTTAGTCTCTCTCAGTCACTCTCTCTGTCTTTTAATCGCGCTCTCTCTCAAACTCGTTTTCCCTCTTTCTCTCTCTCTCTCCCTCGGTGCCTCTCTTTTCGCTCTCTGTCTCTCCCACATATCACAAAGTAAGTTCACTTGAAAATATAGTTTCACTCCCAGTCTCTTATCAGTCCCTTTTATCAGTACATCTCCATGGCTCTCTCTCTTTCCAACTGTCTGTCTGTCTCTCTCTCTCGCAGTCAGTCACACTCTCTCCTCGTCTCTCTCTCTCATTCTCTCTGTATCTGTCACAGTTTCTCTCTCCGTGTCTCCCCAAAGCATAATCACTGCATTTTATAATTTATTTTCTCTGACAGTCTCTCTCTCTCTCTCAGTCTTTCTTTCTGTTTCTGTCTCTCCCTCTCTTTCTCTATGTCTCCCTCTCTGTCAGTTTCTCTCTCGGTCTCTCTGAAAAACACATTCACTACACTATACAGTATATTTTCTCGGAGTGTTTCTCAGTCTCTATCTTCCTCACATTCTCTCTACCACCTCAGTCTCTCTCTCTCTCATTCACAGTCTCTCACTGTCTTTCCCACATAATTCAAAGTCACTACACTTGATAATATATTCTCAACACAGTCTGTTTCTCTCCCTCAGTCTCTCTTTCTCTCAATCTCTCTCTCTCTCACAGCAAGACTCTCCCTCGCTCTCTCTTTCTCTCGGGCTCTCTCAGGCTCTCGCTCAGTCTCTCTCTCACTCTGTCTATCGCTTTCTCAGTCTCTCTCAGAATCTCTTTCTCCGTCTGTCCCGCGGTTTCTCCCTTTCTCTCCCTCTCTCTGGCTCGCTCTCTCTCGCTCCCAGTCTCTCTCCGTTACTCCAACAAAACACACAGTCAATACACTTTAAAATATTTTCTCTCACTGTCTCTCTCTCTCAGATTTTCTCTCTGTCGCTCTCTCAGTTTTACTTTCTGTTGTGCTCTCTCTTTCCCTCTCTCTTTCTCTCGTAGTCACTCTCTCTTTTATAGTCTATCCCATTCTCTCTCTCAGTCGCTCACTGACTCTCTCTCGCTCTGTATCTCTCATTGTCTCACTCTCTGTATCTCACCCACCACAAATCAGTCACTACACTTTGTAATATATTTTCTCTCATAATCTCTCCCAATCTCTCTCTATCTCTCAGTCACTCTTTCCCGATCTTTCTCTGTAATAATAATAATAATAATAATCATTGCATTTGATATAGCTCTTTTCACGTCGGGAGGACGTCCCAAAGCGCTTCACAGAATATAATGTAAAGTGAATTGACTGTATATTTGTGGGCGAACGCGGCAGCCAATTGCCCACTGTGCCACAAACAGTCGTAGATTGAAAATGACCAATTTATTATTGAGTTTTTTTTTGGCGGGATTATTATTAGGCTCTGTGTGGAGTAAGGAAACTTGCCCAAGGTTTCGCCCTCTGCCTGGAATTGAACTCAGGTCTCTCACTTGCAAAGCGAGTGCTCTAACCACTGAGCTACAGGACTCCACGACTGTAAGTCAGTCTCTCTATCTCTCCCATGAAACACAGGCACTGCACTTTATAATATATTTTCAGTCTTTCTCAGTCTCTCTTTCTCTCAGTCTCTCGCTCTGAGTCTCTCTCTCTCTCTCTCTCTCTCTCTCTCTCTCTCTCTCTCTCTCTCTCTCTCTCTCTCTCTCTCGCAGTCTCCCTTTATCTCTTATTCAGTTTCTCTCTATCTAACTCAGAGTCTCTCTCTCTGCCTCTCAGTCTCTCTCTCTCAGTCTCTGTCTCTCTAACTCAGTCTCCCTCTGATTCTTCTCTCTGTCTCTCCTACTAAACAGAGTAACTACACTCTATAATATATTTTCTTTCACAGTCACTTTCAAATTATCTCTCACTCTCCTTCTGAGACTCTCTCTCAGTCTCTCATTCTCTAACTCATTCTCTTTATCTCTCTCTTTTTTCTCTCAGTCTCTCTCTCTGCGTCTCGCAACAAGAAAGTCACTACACTTTATAATATGTTCACACTCACCCTCTCTCTCATTCTATCTCTCGCTCTCCATTTCTCTCCCAGTTTCTCACTCCGTTTCTCTCTGAGCCTCTCTCTATCCCCGACTCTGTTTTTCTCTCACTTAATCTCTCTCTGTCTCTCGCTCTGTCACTCTCATTCTCTCTTTCTGACTCTGTCTCTTTATCAGTCTCTTACAGTCTCAGTCCCCGTCTGTCTGACAGTCGCTCTCACATGTTCTCATTGTCTCTCCCAGAAAACAGTCACTGCGCCTTATAATATATTTTTGTCTCAGTCTCTCTTACTGTATCTCTCTCTGTGTCTCTCACAAAACACACAGTTATACGTTATATTTCCTCTCACATTCTATCTCTCTCTTTCTCTCAGCCTCTCTCTCTCTCTCTCACTCTCTCTCTGTGTATCTGTCATTCTCTCTCTCTCTCTCTCTCTCAGTCACTCTCTCTCATTCTCAGTCTCTGTCTCACCCCCAAAACGTACTGTCACTACAATACACAACATATTCTCTGTCACACTGTCTTTCCCTCTCTCCCACTCAATCTCGCTCTGCCTGTCGCTGTGTCTTTCTCATTGAGTCGCTATCTCAGTCTCTTTCAGACTCTCTCTGAATCTCTCACTCTTTCCGTCCGTCCGTCCGTCTATCTGTCTGTCACTCTTCCTGCCTGTCTGCCCGTCTGTCTGTATGTCACTCTGATACTCTGTCTCTCTCTCTCTCTCTCTCTCTCTCTCTGTCTGTCTGTCTGTCTGTCTGTCTGTCTCTCACTCTGTCTCACTATCTCTCTCTCACTCTCTCTCTGCCTGTGTCTGTCTGTTTTTCTGTCTGTGTCTCTCTCTGTGTATCTGTCTCTCTCTCTCTCTCTCTCTATCCGTCTGTATCTCTCGCTCTTTTTGTCTGTTTCTCTGTCTGTGTCTCTCCCTGTCTGTCTATCTCCCCCCCCCACCCATCACTCTCTGAACTGAAAAGCGCTATATCAAATGCAAGGATTATTATTATTATTATCGCTCTGTCTTTCTCTCATTCTGTCTCCCCTTCAGTCTCTTCCAGAGTCTCTCGCTATGGCTCTCCCAGAAAACACATTCACTATATGTTATATGTCCTCTCGTAGTCTCTCTCTCTCTCTCTCTGTCTCTCATTGTGTCTCTCTCTCAGTCTCTCTATCAATCTCTTTCTCTTAGTCTCTCTAACAATCTTTCTATCTCAGTCTCTCTATCTCTCTGTCTCTCACTTACAGCGTCTCTCAGCCTCTTTCTCTCTCCGTCTCTCTTTCTATCTTTTACGCAAAACACACAGTCACCACAGCTTTTAATATATTTTCTCCGCAGTCGCTCTCAGTCTCTCTCTCTCTGTTTATCTCTCCCAATTTTGTTCTCACTCTCTCATAGTCCATCTGTCTCAGTATTTCTTTCTCTCTGCCGCTTTCTCTTTCTGCTTCAGTTTCTTTCTCAGTATCGACCTTTCTCTCCCATTTCTCTCTCTACCAGGCTCTCACTCACACTATCTCTCTATCTGTCCATTGCTCTATCTTTCTCTCACTCAGTCTCTCTCTCTCATTCTCTCTCTAAGTCTCTCGCTCTGTGTCTCTTATTCTCCCTCTCTCACTAATTCGCTGTTTATCTCTCAGTAGCTCTTTCTGCCTCTCTCTCTGCCTGTCAGTCTATCGCTCTCATTTTCTATCTCTCTCTCTTTCTTTCAGTATCTCTCCCAGTCTGTCTCTCTCTCTTTCTCTCGCTCCCTGAGTCAGTGTCTCTCTTTCTCCAACTCTCAGTCTCGCTCTCCATCTGTCGCCGTCTTTCTCTCATTCAGCCTCTCGCTCAATCTCTATCAGCATCTCTCACAGTCTCTCGCTGAATCTCTCCCACAAACACACAGTCACCACAAATTATATTTCCTCTCACAGTCTCTACCCATTTCTCTCAGTCTGTTTATCTCTTTGTCTCTCTATCAGTCTCTTTCTCTCTCAATCTTCCTCTCTCAGTCTTTCTCTCCAGTCTCTGTCCCAATGTCTTTCCCACAAAACACACAGTCACTACGGTTTGTAATATATTTTCTCCACCGACTGTCCCAGCTTCTATCTCTCTCTCTCTCTCTCTGTATCTACTCCCAGGCTCTTTCTCTCTCTCGTAACACTCTCTCTCAGTCTAACTCTCCTTTTCTGTCCTTCGCTTATCTTTCTCTCTCACAGTTTCTCTCTCTCTCTCAGTATCCGTTTCTATCTCAGTCTCTCTCTCCCAGTCTCTCTCTCACAGTGCCTCGCCCTCTGACTCAGTCTCTCTCTCGGTATATCGCTCTAAGTTTCTGTCACACAGTCGCGCTCGTATTATCTTTCTCTTTCTGTGTCTCTCACTCTCTCTCAGTGCTTCTCTGCCTCCACCCCCCCCCCCCTCTCTGGGTGTCTCTTGCGGCCCACCTCCCTCTCTCTGTCAGTCTATCTCTCTCAATCTCTACCTCTCTCTCAGTCTCTTTCTCTCTCGCAGTTACTCTCTCTCTCAGTCTCTCGTGCTTTCAGAGAATGAGCGAGAGGGAAGCAAATGCAAAGTGACTGTGTGTTTTTCTTTGAGAGACAGAGAGAAGGAAACTGAGAGAGAGAGAGTGACTGAGTGAGTGACAAAGAGAGAGGATATGAGTGAGAAAAAAACTGCAAAAGAAATAGAAAATGAGACAGAGTTAGTGAAGAGAGGGAGACTGAGAGGGAGAATACATTATTAAGTGTATGATAGGAGGCTTTTTCTCTCTCTCTTAGAGAGGAGGAGACAAAGAGACTGACAGAGAAAGAGAGAGAGGCAGAGAGAGAAGCAAAGAGACTGTGTGTGTGTGTGTGTGCGTGAGAAAGCGAGAGAGACACACACACAGAGCGAATTTATTAAAAAGTGTATTGACTGTGTTTCGTGGGAAAGAGTGAGAGAGAGACTGAAGCAGCGACGGAAGAAGCAGCGAGTGACTGAGATTGAGAGAGAGACTGAGAGTGAAAGCAAGAGACAGAAAGTGAGAATGAGAGAGAACGAGAGAGAGACGAGGAGAAAGACTGACAGCGATAGGGAGAAAAAGGCAGTGAGAGATATATATCCAGTGTATTTGCTGGGAGAGACAGAGAGAGAGAAAGAAAGATGGGCAGAGACTGAGCAAGAATATATATGTGTGTGTAGCGAATCTATGTTTTTTGGGAGAGACAAAGAAACACAATTGTTCGTGGAGACAAAGTGTAGCTGGTGTAAGAGACAGCATCAGATAACAATAATCGTAATAATAAGCCTTGCATTTGTTACAGCACCTTATCTGGACAAGACGCCTTAACATTCTGGGCTGCTGGGGCTACATGCAGTGGGATCTCCCCAGTGCCTGGTCCTGGCAGCAGCACAGTTTACGCTGAGTCTATTCCAGCAGCACTGTAACCCTCAGTCAGTGTGTGAGTGAGGCTAATGTCTTGGCTTCTGCAGCCCGGCCTTTAATCACCAGGTTCTGGGCAGTGTATCTCTCTATTCTCTCGTTATCCAAACACTGTGAGCCCCAGACCTGGGAAAGAGAATCTCTGTGGCTGTGAGATCTCAGGAGATGGAAATGGAGACTCTTCACCAGGGCCAGGGGAGCCCACACCTGTCAGACTGATGTCAGGCTGAGGGAGATGTGTTTGGGGTGAATTATGTTGTATCAGTGTTATAATATTGTACTGGAGAGAGGGTGTTTCAGCCCCTGGATAAATGGGATGGTCTTTTTACCCTGGAATACTGCACTTAGGGAGGAGCTGCCGCCAGGAGCAGAGGACACAGGAATTTTTCGGCCGAACCACACGGTTCAGGAGAGTGAGCCCTTGGGTCCTAAGCTGGTGGGAAGCTCAGAGGCTTAGAGGTTAGAAGGGTGTCTGTGTGTCAGAGACTCTGTGGTCAGGAGAACCATCTCCTGTATGAATAACCATGAAAAACCGAATGGCGTCTCTGAACGTAAGCTCTGGTCTGTCTGACCTGGGATCAAGTTACAATTTATTCAATAAAGTGAGCATCCCAGTCGGGAGTCAGCAACCAATCCCAATAACATCAGCAAAATGGGAATGCCACCGAAGGGCTCAGGGTGTGGAGCAGTCAGGTGTGCAGTGGAATGTCAGCCATTCACATCCCAATCCCCCAGGACAGGACTGTGGTGTGTGACGGCCATCACACTGTGACCTACTGTTCCCTCCAGCTGTGTCATACCATTCTCCCATTGATCAGCTGGTGTTTAATGCCATTAAAGTCCTGGAGAATGGCTTTGAAATAAGAATAATATGAATAAGATTTACAAATAGAGTAACTTACAGCAACTCTTGACACTTGTGCAGAGCAGCAAACAGACGCTGGAGACCCTCCTCCTGAATGTAGCAGTTCCTCAGATTCAGTTGTTTTATTGTGTCACACAGTCCAATGGCCTGAGACACCACAACACAGTCTATCGGTGTCAGTCTCAATGCTTTCTCTGAAGAGTAGTCACCAAATGTCAGTGTGTGTACAGAGCCCAGTGTGAGCTGTGCCAGGGCTTGATTCTGAGACTCAAACAGGTAGTGGAGTGTGTTCAGCAGCTTCCTTTTCGCATTGACGGTGTCTGTGTCTCTGATCTGAGTTTTAACCTTCTCCTTCAGCCAATCGATCACCGCGCAGGTTGTCTGATGGACAAATGGGCCCAGAAACTCCTCCAGTGGCTGAGCTGCCCGTGGGGAGGAGAGACCCGCAACAAAGCGCAGGAATATCTCAAACCGGCCATCACTTTTACTGCGAGCTTGATAAAAGCAATCCTGAATACTTTCTGGATTCGGAGTCAGCAACTGAGCGAGTGCGGCTACAAACTCCTGGATGGTGAGGTGCGGGAATGTGTAGACCACACTGTGCTCTGAAGACTCTCTCTCCACAAGTTCCATGAGAAAACCAGAGAGGAACTGCGAAGGCTGGAGGTTATATTTGAACAGATCTTCATCATTAAAGACAATGTTTCTCTGGGAGACTCCAGTGAAGGCCATCTCACCAATCTTCAGCATCACATCACGGGGGCTTTCCATCTTGACACTGTGATGTGATAGTATGTTATAAATATAATAGGAGAAGAGTTGTGTGACTGTCTTGGGAACTCGCTGTTTGTTGCTGTGTTTCCGTGTGAAGAAGGGACCCAGAGACAGAGCGAGGATCCAGCAGTAGGACGGGTTGAAGCACATGGTGAACAGGAGCTCATTTTCCTCCACGTGGCTGTAAACAGCAGCCGCCACCTCCTGATCCTCAAAGAACTTGTGAAAATATTCCCTTTTCTCTTCACCCACAAATCCCAGGATTTCAGCCCAGACACTGACCTGAGCCTTTGCCAGTAACTGTAATGCAGTGGGGCGGCTGGTCACCAGCACTGAGCAGCCTGGCAGCAGCTGTTTCTGTATTAAACTGTACACAATGTCAGAAAGTTTACAACGGAATTCAGGGTCTGTGCACCTGCGCTGAGGCTCTGTGTCTCTCCGACTGTCAGCGAAATCAATACTTCCCCTAAATTCATCCAAACCATCAAATATAAAGAGCAATGTCTCTGGGTGTTTCCACAGCTCATCCAGAACACCCCTGAGGTAAGTATACTGCTCTGTGATCAGACGGTTTAGTGTAATTCTGCAGTTTAATCTGTTTAGATCTCGGAATTTAAAAATAAATACAAAGTGAAAGTGAGGATAGATTTTGCCTGTGGCCCAGTCATGGACAATCTTTTGCACCATGGTTGTTTTTCCAATCCCCGCCACTCCACTCACTACTGCGGAAGTCCCTGTGAAATTGCCAGATCCCCTCCTCTTGAAGAATTTTTTCAACCAGGAAATTGGACCTCCTCCAGAGAAGCTGCTGTGGAACAGTTTATCAATTCGGATTTTTTCCAGCTCTCCCCGGAGCTGCTTCTGTCTCCACTCCTCGTGTTCTCTGCCTCTCGCCAGCAGCTCATGTTCTACCAGATCCCGGTCACGTACATCAGAAATAATTGTTAGCTCTGTGTAGCGAACAACCAACTGAAACTGCTTCACCTTCTCCTTTATCAGGATGGTCTTCACTACCAGTTTCTCAGTTTGTTTCTTTAACGTCTCCTTGTGCAATTGCTGAATGGCTTCATGTGGAACAATAATCAATCGGAGAATAAATTGAGGAATTATTTAGCATTATTAAAAAATGACATTTATTTTCAGTTAAGGCTTTGAAAGAAGGATTACATTCCAAAGCGCTGCATACGACTTAGTTTAAAGTGTGGTGACTGTGTTTGTTGAGCAGATGCCAGTTTGCGGAAAGCGACAGCAGCCACAAGTAGTCGGGAAGTGCGTGACTACATTTATTTGAGGGATTGTTGGCCAGGAATCCGGGAGATTCCATTCTCTGGAATGTGGTGCCTAAAACTGACCGCAATAACAACAACAAAACTACATTTACAGAGTGCTTTTTACGTCATTAACTTTACTAATTGAGGTGTCCTGCTTCTCCCAGTCTATGTGAAAAATAAAATCTCCCATTATAGCCGTGTTATTATTGCTGCATGCCACCCTGATTTCCGTATTTATATATTGTGAACTGAAACCCATAACTCTGATTGCGAGACAAGAGGAACACAAACTGAGTTGAACAAACAGGGAGTAAACAATCTGAATTATATTAATAATAGTAATAATCGCAATAATCCTTGGTTTGATATAACGCTTTTCACGTCTGCTAGACGTCCTAAAGTGCTTCACAGAATATACTGTAAAGTGAATTGACTGTATATTTGTGGCCAAACGCGGCAGCAATTGCGCACAGCCATGTCCCACAACCAGTCATAGATTAAAAATGACCAAATTATTGTCTTTTTTTTGGTTTCTTGGAGGGATTATTATTAGGCGTGTGGACTAAGGAAACTTGCCCAAGTTTTCGCCCTGTCTGGATTTGAACAGACGTCAGAACATTGAAAACATGGTAGATATTCAGGGCATTATATGATGAATGCGTGACTTCTTGTAGAAAAGATCATTCAAAAGTAATATTTGCTGAAATAATTCAAGAATTAAATAAGGATCATTCCTCTCACTCCTCATCTCCCTTCTCCCATCTTCCTTCGGCTGCCTACTATCCCTCCCTCCTACCTCTCCCCTCCATACTCCCTTCTCCCCTCCATGTTCACTTTTCCCCTCCATACACCCCTCCATACTCCTTTCTCCCCTCCATACTCCCCTCTTCCCTCCATACTCCCCTCTCACCTCCATACTCCCCTCTCGCCTCCATACTCTCCTATCGACTCCATACTCCCCTCTCCCCTCCATAATCCCCTCTCCCCTCCATATTCCCCTCTATACACCACTCACCTCGATACTCTCCTATTCCCTCCATACCTTCCTCTCCCCTCCATGCTCCTCACTTCCTTCCATACTACCCTCTCACCGCCATAATCCTCTCTCCCCTCAATACACCCTCTCCCCTCCATACACCGCTCTCCCCTCCGTACACCGCTCTCCACGCCATACTCCACTTTTCCCGCCATACTCCACTCTCCCGTCCACACTTCACTCTCCCGCCCACACTTCCCTCTCCCCTCCACAATCCCCTCTCCCCTCCATGCTAACCACTCCATCCATACCCCTCTCTCCCCTCCATACGCCCCCTCCCCTCCATACGCCACTCTCCCCTCCATACGCCCCTCTCCCCTCCATACGCCCCTCTCCCCTCCATACGCCCGTCTCCCCTCCATACGCCCCTCTCCCCTCCATACGCCCCTCTCCCCTCCATACGCCCCTCTCCCCTCCACACGCCCCTCTCCCCTCCATGCTGACTACTCCATCCATACTCCGTTCTCCACTCCATACGTCTCTCTCCCCTCCATACGGCCCTCTCCCCTCCATACGGCCCTCTCCCCTCCATACGCCCGTCTCCCCTCCATATGCCCTTCTCCCCTCGATACGCCCCTCTTCCCTCCATAATCCCCTCTCCCCTCCATAATCCCCTCTCCCCTCCATGCTAACCACTCCATCCATACGCCCCTCTCCCCTCCATACGCCCCTCTCCCCTCCATACGCCCCTCTCCCCTCCATACGCCCCTCTCCCCTCCATACGCCCCTCTCCCCTCCATACGCCCCTCTCCCCTCCATACGCCCCTCTCCCCTCCATACGCCCCTCTCCCCTCCATACGCCCCTCTCCCCTACGTACGCCCCTCTCCCCTCCATGCTAACCACTCCATCCATACGCCCCTCTCCCCTCCATACGCCCCTCTCCCCTCCATACGCCCCTCTCCCCTCCATACGCCCCTCTCCCCTCCATACGCCCCTCTCCCCTCCATACGCCCCTCTCCCCTCCATACGCCCCTCTCCCCTCCATACGCCCCTCTCCCCTCCATACGCGCCTCTCCCCTCCATACTCGCCTCTCCACCCCATACGCGCCTCTCCCCTCCATACGCGCCTCTCCCCTCCATATGCGCCTCTCCAATGATACGCCCCTCTCCAATCGATACGCCCCTCTCCCCTTCGTACGCCTCTCTCCCCTTCGTACGCCTCTCTCCCCTTCGTACGCCTCTCTCCCCTTCGTACGCCCCTCTCCCCTTCATACGCCTCTCTCCCCTTCGTACGCCCCTCTCCCTTTCGTACGCCCCTCTCCCCTCCATACGTCGCTCACCCCTCCATAATACACTCTTCATCCATAATCCCCTCTCTCCTCCATAATCCCTCTCGCCTCTATGATACTGTCTCGCTTCTATATTCCCCTTCTCCACTCCCCTGCATACCTCCTCTCCCGTTCATATTCACCTCTCCTCTCTCCTCCATGCTCCCCTCCATGCTGCCCTCCATGCTCCCTCCCTGCTCCCCTCGCAACTCCATGCTCCCCTCAATGGTCCCCTCCGTGCTCTTTTCATCCCTCTATGCTCCCTTCTACTCTTCGTGTTCCTCTCCATGTTCCCTTCTCGGCTCCACACACCCTTGTATGCTCCCCTCTCCCCTGCAAGCTTACCTGAACACTCCATGCTCCCCTCTCCCGTGCATGTTTACCTGTCTCCTCCATGCTCCCCTCTCCCCTTCATGCTCTCCTGCCCAACTCTATACTCCCTTCCCCACTCCATACTCCCCTCTCCCCACTCCATAATACTCTCTGCCCACCATACACCCCTCTCCCCAACATACTCCTCTCTCCAGTACAATCTTCGCTCCCTCCTCCCACATCCCCCCTCCCCTCGTTCGTATTTTCTGTATATCATCAGTAAATGGTAAACTGCCAAACTGTGTATTTCAGAAGTGATTGCCTAGTTTGTATCTTGTCCCTGTCACATACCTTTCAGATCACTGGAGACATCTGATACACTTCGGACAATGGTCACCTCATCCACTAGACTGGCACCTGTTTGAATAGAGTTAATATTATTAAATTTAAGGGATAGTGTATCAATAAAATATGAATGGAGGCACAGAGTAACACCACACATTACCTTGTTGCTGTATTTCCGTCATGATTTTGTTCAGTTTGGGCAAAGTGGGCCTCATTTTCACAAAAGATTCCCACATCACTCTCCGGGCCTCAGAACCTTTCCCCATCACCAGGTTCAGAAGAAATTTGGAGCTTTGTCTCCTCTGCCCACTGTGTCTGAGTTCAGTGAGTTTCTGCACAGAGTGAGCATTTATGTATTAATGTGTGAAACATGAACAGTGACAGTGATCAGCAATGCCCAGCTCCATTGACGGATTTGCTGGACTTGCTTCCTCTTCCATCCACAAACTGCTTTCCTCTGTGACCACGCCTTTCATCATCTGCCCTCCCCGACACTTCCCAAATCCAGCTCGGGCTCCCGCTTCACTGTCCAGTGCCTTTTGACCTCGCCACGCAAACGGCGTTAAATAAACGCAAGTTTCTGTTCTCAGTTTTTTGGTCGTATAGACACCTCTTACACTGCGCTGTACTGATCCACGACACACATATGGTGCATGTCCTGTATTTTAACATAAAATGCTTTTGCTTATGCTTTTGTATAAGCTGTTTGATTGCTATTGTTGATTTTCTGAAAAAAGCAGCACATGAGCCGTGCAGGCAAGCACTGACTTGGTGAGACTTTAACAAATGAAAGGAAAATGATGCAGTCTGTCTCAAACCTACTTTGTGCTCCTGCGGGCTGAAACATTCCTTCTGTCTGAGCCTTGAGCTGATGTCCTCCACGCCTTCCTCAATGGCCTGTTCCAATCTGTCCCGGTAGAACTTTGTCAGTCTGTGCAGCTGGTAATCATCATACAGGGTCAGGGTCTCAGTGAATAAGGTATTTGTACCTGCTAGCAACCAATAAAAACATTAGTCAGATATTGTTTTACTCTTTTTCCTCGGAACATGTTTCGGAAAATATTACTATGTTGATCGTAAAAAAAAGCCCTGAATAAACAGACCTCAGTTGGTCATAAACACCATTTAGTAGCTGATATCAGAGACCTGTCAGCCTGGCTCAGTTGGTATGACTCTCGCCCCTGAGACAGAGGGTTGTGGTTCAAGTTCCACATAAGGATTTTGACCTCATAAACCAGCCTGACAATCCACTGCAAGTATCCTCGCTGGATCTTTATTTTAAATCTGTGTCCGCTGGTTACCAATCTACCCTCCAGAGGAAAGAGTTTCTTCCGCTCTACTCTATCAAAACCCTTCCTAATTTTGAACATCTCTCATTGATCTATTAAGTTGAACACATGCATACCATAGTCAGAAGTTTGCAGGTTAAAGCCCCTATTCTCTCAAGGCAGCAGGTGGTGGAGTGGGGGTTGAGCACGTCGGAAAGGTAGGGAGGTGCAAGACATACAGGGATTTGAAAACGAGGAAAAGGATTTGAAAGTCGATCCTTTCGGAAATTGGGATCTAGTGCAGCCTGGCAAGGACTGAAGTGATTTGGATCCTTCCCTTTCTGTGGTTTGGCATCCGAATAGCGGAGATAATTAAATAATGTTGATGGTGGAACTAAGGAGACCAGGAGGGAGGGCATTCGAAATGTCCAGCTGAGAAGTGGCAGAGGCGTGGATGAGGGTTTGGGCTGCTGCGGATGTGAGGTACGAACAGAGGCGGGTAATAATAATAATAATAATAATAATCCTTGCATTTGATATAGCGCTTTTCACGTCGGGAGGACGTCCCAAAGCGCTTCACAGAACACACTGTAAAGTGAATTGACTGTATATTTGTGGGCGAACGCGGCAGCCAATTGCGCACAGCAATGTCCCACAAATAGTCGTAGGTTGAAAATGACCAATTTTTTTATTATTGTTTTTTTTTGGAGGGATTATTATTAGGCGTGTGGAGTAAGGAAACTTGCCCAAGATTTCGCCCTGCCTGAAATTGAACTCATGTCTCTCACTTGCAAAGCGAGTGCTCTAACCACTGAGCTACAGGACTCCACTAATGTGACAGAGGTGGAAAAACAAACTGTCCTGGTCAGGGAACGAATGTGGGGGAGAAAAGAAGGCTACAGAGAGAACCTGATACCTAGTTTGCGCACGGGTAGGGTGTGTTTGTGGGAGAGCCCGAGGAGGTTGAGGTGTTCGGAGCCACATGAAAGAAGACGTTGACGGGAGCCAAAGTGTATGGCTTGGAAGGATGGATGGATCTTGCTGACGTTCAGCTGCAGGAAGTTTGCACTCATCCACGCCATGATGCCCGTCACACAAACTGACAAAGCATTAGAGGACTGGGAGTTGCAGCTGGAGGAGAAGGAGGAAGCGGAGAACTAGATTTGTCTATCATACATGTGGGCTGTGTTCACTTTACACATAATGGCTGTGGCTGGCAACCTTAGAAGGAACTGATTTGGAAGTATACTATCCCCCAGGAATGATTTTCCACAACAAGACCTAACCATGTTCCGGGCAGGCTGGTATGTCACTGCAAGCCCTGCCCATGTGTCAGGTTGGATGTATTTTCACTGCAAAACCTGCCACGGGTCAGTCTGTATGATCTGTCATTATCAGCGATTGGTTCATGAACCGTCCAACATGTCCCTGATCTTCCATTTCACAAATTGGGAATTTGCTCAACCCCAATAGAAATTGACTGAACTTTCGTTTCCAAAGTGTGTGAGATAAATGTACGTGCTTTTGTTTAAAAGTACTTAATAAACACATTACATTTGTTCATCATCATCTTTTTGAAATTTTCCTTAAATTCAGTTAAAGGAAGCCATTACCTGTTGGTGTTTTGCAGGGGGCTTGATCCATACCACGGGTCATTCCATCGCCCTCTGCACTGGCACTTGGTTCAGTCTCCGTGGAGGCCATCTCACTCCAATCTCCCAAATTGGTGGAACCGATTCACAATGTATTTGGGCAACACCAGATGTGGTCGCTGTTTCAGTCCTGCCAGATGTACACATGCTTAGTAATGGTGATGGTGACCATTTAATCGAATTATCTGTTTTCCCGTGGTTCTGTGTTTCAGAAATATATTTCCCCTTTCCCAACAATATTCAAAAATCCCCCCAATTGCTACTAAGTGCAGCCTAGTTTGTAAGATTTGCGACAGGTGCTGAGCGTTTTTAACAATTGCAAGACTAACAGGGAATCCAGACTTGATCTCTCAGACAAAAACATCCGGTTAGCATTTCTAATGGACTGTCCTTCTCCCTCACAATTAACATTTATCCTACAACGAAATAAATTGCAAGAGTATCGTCATGATAAATTCAGCAATTCAGTATATTCAGGTGTCTTACTCAATTGTAGTTAGGCGGAAATGTACTGACGTTTCTTGCATTTGTTTTCTTTCAAGTTAGGAAGATGTCTCAAAACACTTCCCCGCTTATGGTGAATTATATAGCAGCCAATTTCACAGAATCATAGGAAACAGAAGGAGGCCATACAGACAATTTCGTCTTTGAAAAGAGCTACCCAAATTAAAGCCACTCCCCCGCTTTCTCCCCATAGCCATGCAAATTTGCCTTCCCAAATAATTATCTACTTCTCTCTACTTCTTCTCTAGAATCGGCTTCTACCACCTTTTCAGACAATGTATTCCAGATCCGAAAAAAATTCTCCTCCCCTCCCCGCTGCTTCTTTTAACAACTATTTTAAATCGTTGTCCTCCGGTTACCGACCCACCCACCAGTGAAAATTGTTTCTCCTTGTTCACCCTATCGAATCATTTCATCATTTTGAAAACTTCTATTAAGTCTCCTCTAAACCTTCTGTGCTCCAAGGAGAATAATCCTAGCTTCTGTAGCCTCTCCTGATAACTGAAGTCCCTCATTCCTGGTCTCCTGCTGTAAATCTCCTTTGCACCCTCTCCAATCCATTGACATCCTTCCTAAAATGTGGTGCTCATTACTCTTCATAATCTCCAGCTGAAGCCTAGCCATTGTTTAATAAATGTTCATCATAACTTCTTGACTTTTGTATACTATGCCCCTAATTATAAAGCCTAGTATCCTGTATGCTTTCTTAACAGCATTATATACCTGTCCTGCCACCTTCAAAGATTTACTTATATGAACCCCAGTCTCTTTTTTCCTTCACCCCCTTTAAGATTCTACCATCTATTTTATATTTCCCCTCCTCATTCTTCCTCCCAAAATGTATTATTTCACATTTCTCCACAGCAAGATGTATACGTCATGTGTCTGCCCATTTGACCAGTCTGTCTGTACCCCTTACATTATGCTACGATCCTCCTCACTGTTTGCTACCTTTCCGAGCTAAGTCTCAACTGGAAATTTGGAAATTGTACTCCTACACCAAAGTCCAGGTTATTTATGTAGATCAGAAACAGCAGTGGATCCAACAGCGACCCATGGGGGACACCGGTGAAAACATCTCTCTCAGCTTTCTGTCTCCCAGCCAGTTCTGTACCAATGCTACTACTCTGCATTTGATACCGTGGGGTTCCAGTTTGCTTACCATTTTCTTATGTGGCACTTTACCGAACACCTTTTGAGAATCCATATAAACTACATCAACTGCACTTCCTTCATCTATACTCTCCAATCCTTCATCAAACGGCTCTATCGGGTTCTTCAGGCCCGATTTGTCTTTAGTAAACCAATGTTGACTGTCTTTTATTAACCTATATTTTATTGAGTGAAATTTTATATTATCCCGGATTATATTATCTAGACGTTTCCATCCCAATGACGTCAGTGTGACTGGCCTTGTTTTAACATTCTTTCCCGGATTTATCCTGGCATTCACGCTTGCCCAGCCCAGCTCCATGCCACCAATAGTGACAAAAACACACACTTCTCCAGATCAGCCCCATGGTGTCCTCACCAAGACTGACCCACACACATCCCCAAATCAGCCCCATGCCACCATCACATACTTCCCCGACTGAGCACCACGTCATCAACACTGATACACATCTACAACCCAGCATCTTGCCACCAACACTGACACACACACACTTTACCAGCTCAGCCCTATGCCACCAACACTGACACACGCAGATTTCTGTAGCTCAGCCCCATGTAACCAAGTCTGACACATCCAATTCCCCAACTCAGCCCCATGCCACAGACACTGTCACACTCTTCACCAGCAAAGCTCCATAGTGTCCCCAACAACACTGACCCACACATACTTCACCAGATCAGCCCCATGGTGCCCTCACCAACACTGATACACACACGCAACCAGCTCAGCTCCATGTTACCAACGCTGATACACACACTTCACCAACTCAGCTCCATGTCACCAACAATGACACACACAAACTCCATCAGCTCAGCCCCATGGTGTACCCACCAACACTGACACACACTTCACCATCTCAGCTCCATGTTACCAATACTGACACAAATATTTCACCAACTCAGATGCATGTCACCAACACTGATACACACACTTCACCATCTCAGCTGCACGCCACCAACAATGACACACATATACTTCCACAACTAACCCCCAAGTCACAACACTGACACACACAGACACTTCATCAACTCAGCCTCAAGCCACCAACGCCGACACACACATACTTCAACTCAGCCCCATGACACTAGCACTGACAAACACACACTGTAAGACATCAAATGCTGATTGATCTCCGTCTATCTTCAGTTGAATGTAGTCAAGACGGAAGCTCGCCTGTTTGAGTCCTGACAGTATTTACTCACCCTAGGTATTGACGGCATCAATTTGTAACAAAGCTAAATTCACGTTTCTGTGCCAATGAGAAGATCATTGTCTTATTCCACGTTAACTGTCCTTTAATCCGTGTAACTTGTCTCTCACTCACGCTTGGCTTTCGCTCACCTCTATAATATTGCTTACCTGCAGCTGCACCTCTCACACCTCCTTCCCCTGGTGTGTCCAAAAACATATATACATCTTTATTAAATTGGGGCCAGACTATATGAATCCCTTACTCAATGGCATTCAAACACGGTCTCTACTCAAACTGCAGACCATACAAAACTGCAGCTTGTTTGCGATCCTACACCAGTCTCCATATCTCTATCATTATGTCCTCCCGACCAGAATGGCGCTATACAAAGGTGATGTTTTATTGTTTTACCATCATCCTCTCGCTCCACTCGATCCTGTAGTATGTGATTTGGTTGTCGGGAATCTGGCACATGTACCAACCCATCACCGTGACTAAGGATATCCAAACCAGACTGAGAATGCTTCCACCCACCAACACATCAAACACGCTTTGCTTAGAATGGAATGGCCCAGAGGCATATCTACTTTCAGCCTTGTCCCTGAAAGTATTCGGCACAAATTGGCAAGAGTCAAAGCATGGGTACCTCATGTTAGAAAATAAAATCAGCCATAATCCGTTTGCAACCAGATATCCGACTGTTTTATTATTATTCGTGCGTTATTCACCAATATCCCGATGGGTCAGACCAAAGGCCGGTACAATCAACAAAATCTTATAACAGAACAGTACCACCGTAGATATCTCGAGTTCAACACTGTGTTTTTACAGCACACAAGCTTAATTATTCATGCTCTCAGTCTTCTTGCTTACAGCTTTCAATCTTCCCTCTGATATCCTCAGTCTCAGTGTTTGTAGCTCTCAATCTTCTATCACCCGTACACTGGTCTCCGCGACCCGGGATGGCCCCATCTCCCGTACCCTTGTCTCCACGACCCGGGACGGCCCCATCTCCCGTACCCTCGTCTCCACGACCCGGGACGGCCCCGTTCACAAAGTTAACAGAACTCTTATACCGATGCTCGTCCAATCATAGTGCGGACATCAGATCACTTAGTCGAAATCATGCTGGGTTAACTTGAATACCTCATGGGGTGTACGTGCCTCAACGCACATAACATTGTCCTTAAGACCCCTGTTATTTGATCTAACCGTCTAACATAGAGGACTGATCAGTTTAGGGCTGTATCGGCTGCTCATTATTTTGTGGTGTGCGATCATTAGTACTTTCCTTTAAAGTGACTGGTTATGTCTTATCAGTATCCCGGGATGGTACCAAAGTCCTCCAGTTTAAGCAACTTGCTCATTAGTTGCTATTCTTGAGGATTGCCTTCTGTCGCTTGGCCCTGTCAGAATCTAGCGAATTATTGCTCAGTCGAGATCCTGTGTCGACCGATACCTTGGACCGTTATCTCTGTGGGCGTGTTGTCATTTGTTGATAAGAGGTGACCCCCTGCCCTTTTTCCAAAGCTGTCCTGTTATTCTTTCAAAAACAGAGAAAACCAGATGTGTCCTATGCCACGACTGTCAGTCCAGTTGCCCCCCACACTTAACGTAAAAGTTATCCCATTCACAACATCTATTATGATTCTAGCAGTATACAAAAAGAGTATATTCTAACACCCCACCGCCCAGGAATATATATTCTAACTCCTCGCCTCTCAGCCTTCAGAATCACCCGCTGCCTGGCCCTCCTACAGCAGTTCTCAGGCTGTTTGTCATCTGAAAACTTTCTGAAACCTGACACTCACTATAGGGAGAGGCGACTCTCACAAAAGCTCCGCCAACCATCTGACATGTCACTGAGTCTATAATTCGCTGATCGAGATTTTAAAACTTCAATAGTATTGAGATGGTTTCAGCCACAAAGATTAAAGTATTCAGCAAAGTGCGGTGATATGGTCATCTATTCTAACATGAATCTGTTAAAAGATTACCTGCTGACCTGCACTTACCACATGAGCAAACACCTGATCTCCAGGGTATACAGGACTCACAAACTTATATAATTATTACCTACCGCTAAACAGATTACTTCAGTAAAACTATGCATTAATTTTCT